AAACATGTATGGTAAGAGGATGACACTTTATGTAAGTTTCATTTTATTATTTTATTCCTAATAACCATTGAATAAAACGTAGATGTGCGCTATCACAATGCTGGAACTTTTTGAATGTTTTGGCCAAGTAAGTATCTCTCAGACTAAGAGCTTATTGTTAACAATGTATTTTCAGAATGTGCACATATCCATGTATGTTCAGTGTGTAAATAATACATTTAAGACTTGCTTCATTAAATTGTTGTTTTGTTTGGTGTACAATGATACCTCAGGTTAGTAGTTGAGTTCCAAAAATGTTTTATTGCTGTTCCTTGTTATTATCTGTGGACAGTTGAATACTGTTTTACACATTTCCAAACGTGCTTCTCCATTAAAACTGCAGCATGTAGCTTTTTGTGTGCAAATGAAGCACACACATGAACGATCAATTATCAACAATTAAACTGTAGTTTCTATGCTCTAAAAAGGGCATACAAACTGTGTAGACAAACTACACTGGTGTGAACCAAATGTGCTCAAGATGAAACGCCAGCGTTTGGGCCTAAAAACATAAACTATAGCACTGTAACAGAACGTGAAGGTGGATTGATCTATTAAAAAACATAACAATGATCCTACAAATTTTGTGTTACCTTGTAGAAATGGCAGTGCATTGAAGATGTGTCTGGTAAACTTCGGATTCATAAATGTAAAGGATCTGCAGATGTTATGCCACTGAAGAAAAGGGCACGAAGTATAAACTCAAAGGGCTATGGGAGCAGAGATTGTGTATGTCCTGAAACAGACTATAGACCACATAGGAATCCAAGAAAAAAGCAGAGGATTTTCTTGAGACGAGGCAATCCGAAAGGTAAGTGGATTTTAATGGAAAATGTCTGCCTAAAATTCCCCTCTGCTAGAAGTGACCCTATTAGAAGTAAGTTCAATAACATTAACTTGTTATGTAAAGTAATAAACAAATGAATAGGACTTTACAATTTAGCACTTAAGATTGTACATATCATGTAATCATATACTGTATGTGACTCTTATCAAAGGTAAGTAAGAAAAAAACTAAACAGTAGTTATGGCAATGCTGCCAACACTTCCCCTGTTTTAGCCCTGTAAGAGAAACCCCAAATACCCCAAGTATTGTTTGAACATGCCCACTCCACACTCCATCTTCCCACCCTTGCTTTTCACAATGCGGTGCTTGCAGTGTCTGAGCCTATTGTCCCAAAAGGCTTGAGCAGTGTCATGTCAAGGAGGTTTACAAGTGTTCACAAAGTTGACAGGGCTGTCAACATAGGAGAAGGTATCTCATGTTCATTTGTCTTGGCAGGAATCAATACAAGTATACTTTAAGACTTTGATTTCGTGTGAGAGTTCTTAATAGAAAGGTGTCTAGTATTTAGGGCTGGCAAATGATGCATCAAATGTGGCGAAATGTAGATGATTATGTTATTTTGGTTTGGTCAGTATGTGCATTTTTTTTAAAAATCGAAGAAAAAAAAAAAGCTAGCTCTACTACTAAAAAGTCAATCGGTTTCAAAACAGAATGCAGCAACTACTTTACTATTTTTACATAAGATCTGTTCATAGGTAAGAAGACTAATATTAGAGTTGGACAACCACTTTTGTTTTCAGGGAAATTACACACAAATTGTACATGACATATAGAGACTTATCATATTAAATAAAAAAATTTTTAAAAAACTGCTTCAGGCATACCTGGAGGTACCTTGCACTTACCTGCACCCGCCTCATAAATGTTCCTGATGAATTCAAAGCTGTATCAAACCTTTAGGTGCCTGCCCTCTATACCTTCAACAGTTTGATTTTATTTAGACACATTATTTGTAAATACTCTATACAGTTATATAATTTGTTTTTTAAAATGTAAAAAATATGATTTTAAAGAAGGAGGTTTTCAGGT